TGCAGAGAGAAAATGATGACAAGAAAATAATTAAGGCAAAATGACACGAACAGCTGAAGAAACTGTGAGGGAGGAGCAGTGTTTTAATTTTCTTTGCATCCATTCTTCTTATCCATTGGGTTTTTATGTAATCCGCATTCCCAGGCATGTAAAATAAAATACAAAAGTACATACGGGAGTTCACTGCCCTCCCTTTGTCAAGCAAAGGTTGTTGACATCAGATGGATATCTGCATCACTTGTTCTCTAACATCCCCTCAAGTCACCAATCTGTTCCAATTCCTTATACTCTTTCCTTGAGGAAGGTTATTCTAGTGTTTAACTGAGTCTCCTTCCAGGTTAAGTCACGAATGCTTAATCAAGATGAGCAACAGATTACGATCTTTCTGCTGCAGTTTCTTATATACTTGAACACAGTTATGACATCTCTCTCCAGGAGTTGTCTTTAGTTCTTTAGTCTTCGAACCTACAGCTAATTGAATCAATCCTGCTCACTACACCACCTTTACACTTCTTGGCTGACATCTTACCTCTATTGCTTCTGTCAGTTATGCTAACCATATTCCTTATTTTCCCAACTGTGAAGTTCGATACCAAAAGCTGTCCTAGTTTTGTCTTTGGTAACTTTCTCCCTGCAGACTGACACTTCTTTTATTCATTCCTCTCACAATGAAATGGTTACAGAACCAGTTATTGTTATTCCTACTGTCCTTTGTTTGTTGTGTCATACCTTTTTTCATTTTATCACTGTCTTACTCATGTTTTTCATTCATGATGGTCCTTGATTATCGGACCTTGCTCCTGCTTTGCATGTATTTCCATCTCTGACATGGTCACTCATGTTACTGTATTTACTGCCCTGTCACTGGATTGCACTAAATGTATTCTGTTTGCACAAAGTGCTTTTTAACTCTTCAGTTCTTTAGATCTTCCTTCCAGCTGATGCCATCTTGAAATTCAGGCTTAGTGAAGTCTATTATTTTTCTTTTCCTCTTTTAAAAGTCGTAAACGCTAAGTTTCATGGCTGTTCTCACCCAATTTTCTTTCTTTTTTAACCTTCTCAATCTGTCCCTATCTACCTTATAGTTAAACAGAGGAGACTCCTACCTTGTTTTACTAGATATAACCCATATCCAAACAGTGTTGTCTGTGCTTGAAAAGAACTTGATAAATGAGCTACTACTACTCTTCAGTGTCATCAGGCCCTGTGATTTGAAGAATGCTCTGGTGGCTGCTCACAAAAAGCTCTCTCTGCATTTCCTTCCAGATTTGATGGTTTTAAGCGAACATATATCACAGGAGGGACCATATCTTTGTCACTGGTAAAGTAATTGAGATTATTCAGTCTGGAGAAGAGGAGGCTCAGGGAATACCTAATCTCTCTCTACTATTCCCTGAAAAAGGAGGCTGTGGTGAGGTGGGGTTTGGTGTCTTCTCTCAGGTAACAGTGACAGGATGAGAGGGAATGGTCTCACGTTGCACCAGGGAAGATTCAGAATGGATATTAGAAAAAAAATATTCTCAGAAAGAGTAGTAATGTATTGGAACAGTCTGCCCAAGGGGTGAGTGAAGTCACTGTTCCCAGATTTTGAGAAATGGAGATGTGGCACTGAGAGACATGGTTTAGTGGGCATGGTGGGGATCAGTTAATAGTTGGACTTAGTGATCTTGCAGGTCTTTTCTTCAGTAATTCTATAACTCTATAACCAGTAATCAGTGGCCCTAATTCCTTCAATGTTCTGCATCTCTGAACACATGAATGAAACTCTGATTTATGAGGCTACAAATCTTCTTTATTTCCTTCTCCTACTTTTCCTGAAACCATTATGTCTTGTTTATATTATCCATTCATTTATGTTTGCCTAATGGTCTGTTCTGAGCAATTATTGATACATACGGATCTTATCACAAAAGCTGTCTATGTTCTCTCATTTAACTTAAGCCGGTAGCATTTCTGTCTCTGTCCTGTTTACAGTGAAGTGCAACTCTATTCATGTGCTAGTTCTGTAAAAGGTATCCTCAGTATGGGAGAACCTCTTGAAGTGGCCTGGCTCTCCCAATAGAGTCCTATGTTATTTGCAAAGGCAAATGTGGAAAAATGAAGGGATGATCCCAAATCTCAAATTACATCTTTCTGTATTGCACATAAAGATGGCTGCTGGTCCTTCTAATTTGCTGTGATGGCAATGATATAAGTTGGGTTCAAAAACAGCAACTGCATTTGCTTCTGTGGCAAAAGCAATGGTTTAACTATTACATGTCTTCAAGGAAAGTTACTGTGTCGTCATTTGAAGAGAAAAGAGAGATCAGAGTCAAATGCTCCATTTCCAACTGCAAGCACATGCTCATTCTGTAAAAGGGCATAAGTGAAAAGCACCGGAGCTCAGTAAATCAGGAGAGGACTGGAAAGCAATGTGCCCAAGCAAGGAAAAAAATAATTAAGTCTTTCTGTGGAAAAGTTGAAAAGAGTTATGCAATTTGAAGATTTATTTCTATGTTTTTAGTAACTTAAAGTTTTAGAATTATGTCTCTGCTATAAATCTTCTTAGAGGAGAAAACTTTTCATAAAGTAAGACCCTAAATTTTATAGCACTCTGTTGGATTAGGTCTTCAAAACTATCCATCTGAAAAATAGTAAAGAAATTAATTACAGGAAAACAGTTTCTTTTTAAGCTTTTTATGAGACAAGTCATAAAGTTCTGGTACTGACAGCACAGCTCTATGTCTGTTAAATTCTAGTCAGTATTACTATAATTTTGTAAACCTTCAGAAAACCGTTCACTTTTTGCATTCATAAAACTTGTTGGATTTTGTGAGGTCGGATAATACTGCTTAAAATATTGCCAAAGGTTAAGATGAATGTTTCAAAGCAAAAGTAAAATCATTCATAAATGTAAAAAACCTGCAGATTTTATCACAAAATAATTCAAAAATGGCAGTAAATCTTTGACCACACAGGGTTCTGAAGGCAGGTGGGGAGTATTTGCCCATAGTGAACTTCCTGAATTCATTTGGCATAATTACCTCTTATGTTCATTCCTAATTGGATCTAAGCTTAAAGGTAAATTTTCCAAATGCTGTATTCAGGCTCAAAATTAGTGTTCAACTTTCTCCTTTCATGAATGCATACTCTTTTTGCTGAAGAAATCAGTATATTTGAAATCTGGAGCATATTTAACAGTCTCTTCATTTTCCTCTCACACTAGATATTATTTTTGCTACTGCTGAAAGTGCTACTTATTGACATTGCAGCTGCACTTGTAAGATGTAGTCAAGGGTCCAGGCTTCATGGTAAAAGTGTCTTGTGCAGAAAGAGTCACTGTGTGAGGTCGTGACTTCTGCAATGTGTAATGACAACTCAGTCCCTGTGTAGAGAACAGGGGATGCGCTGGGGACCAGGTGACTGCAGCAGATTTCCTGCATGCTCTTGAATACAGGAGCAAAGTTTAAACCAGAAAGCAGATGATCAAAATAGAACAACAGAAACATACAGCTAAAGGTCACCTACATCAGTTACTCTATGACTAGCTTAAAATAGTGAGAGTTACTTTGAACAACTCATGAAGTTTTAAAGTAAGATAAATTAAGATGTTTTTATCCTCCAGTTATTTGACCTTTAGGATTTTAAAGGTGCTCTCTACAATCATTAACATCAGTGACTTTCTAGAGGAAAAACAAAGAGTCTGAGAATACTCTGTAATTCTGTAAGACCTGGGGCTTTTGAAAAACTGAAATATCATGCTCATGATAAAGGAGTAGGAATTTGGAACACTCTGATGAGATATGCATATTTTTAGTAGAGTTGAGTGAAACTTAATAAATTCAATACTTCCAGGGAAATCCATTATGAAGCCAGAGAGAGGGGAATTATCTTGAGACGTTTGTGACATTTTGTTTTATTTGTGCCTTCAGTCACTTCTGCTAACTACTTGTGGTCGGTGTGTTGCAAGCTCTGATAGGCTAACCAAACAGGATTAAAATTATGTGTGTCGTGCAAGTCTACAATACTCCAGCCATCATCAACGAAGAAATAGAAGCAACGCATGGCATCTGCTTAGTGCTCTGCCCAACTTCATTAGTCATGTCTGCAGAGAGGATTTATTGCTTCAGATGCAATGCCATGCTATCACAGCAGCTGAGCTATGAACTGGTCTTTCTGCTTGAGCAGTGTCAGCTCATTCAAAATTTGCTTCTAGCTCTTTGTGTCGTGCCCCACTGCACATTAGAGGCATGGTGTGCAACACAGAGCTGCCTTTCACTGCCTGCCAGCACTGTCAGAGATCCTGTCCTCAACGCTGTCCCCTTCCAGGTAGGAGAAGCATCATCCCAGTGTCAGTAAAACACCAAATCCAAGATTTTTCTTCCCAGAGCTCACGTGAACTTTACGTGATGCAGAGCTGTGTCTATATATAGCAGATTTTGGGACATGTGATTTGTAATGTTGTTGGAATTATGTGAAGGATGAATAATATCTCAGTAGAAGGTGCCAGTTGCAAGCAAACACAAGGAAAAGGAAAAACTGAATCTTAGAAATGTTATTCCTTTCAGTATCTAAAGGGACTATAAGAAAGAAAGAGAAAGACTCTTAAGCAGGGCCTGTTATGATAGAACAAAGGGAAATGGTTTTCAACTAAAAGAGGGGAGATTTAAACTGAATAACAGGCAAACATTTTTTACAACAAGGGTGGTGAGGCACTGGCACAGAGTGCCCAGAATGCTGGTGAACGCCTCATCCTTGGAGACACTCAAGGTCAGGCTGGACAGAGCTCTGAGCACCTGATGGAGCTGTAAGAGTCCCTGTTCCTTGCAGGGCAGTTGGACTAGATAGCCTTTAAAAGTCCTTCCCTGAAATGATTCTTTGATTCCACTGCAGGTGCATTACTAAACTGCAGTCCGAGTCACAGGTGTGAGCACGTGCTCTCAGGATACTAATTTTGTTTCTGAGAAAGCCCTTTTCTTACTCCATTGAATAGTCAATGCTGTCTATGTTTACCCCTGCAGTGATGGCTGGGCAGACAGGTACGATGTGACAGACGGGTATCAGCGTGAAGCTGTTGGTGGAATAACAATCAAGCTCCAGTCTCCTGATGTTAAATGGTTTGATGATTACTACTTGGAGCTTCGGCCAGAAACCAATCACCGAAATCCATGGTTTCAGGAATTTTGGCAGCACAGGTTCCAGTGCCGTCTGGAAGGGTTTCCTCAAGAGAATCCTAAATACAACAAGACTTGCACAAGTAAGTGAAGTTATTTCTGTTGCTGCATAAACCAGTGTGACTGAAGGTGTGTTGAACAGCTCTTGTTGAGCTGATACAACCTGGTCTAATGGAATAGCAATTGAAATAAGAGGCTGGAATTGCAACCCTTGGTCTTTCCAGAGTGACAACAGCTACAATTTTAAAAGTACTCAGCTCTCTAAAGAAACAAATTGATAGTACCACAGCACCTAACTACTCTCAATATTTGAAAAACTTGGAGCTCCTCTACTCTTCTAGGCATCTAACTATTTTCAGAAATATTGTCGTCTAGTATTATTCAGTGGTTCTTTTATGAAACAGGGTTAATCATGCTTTCTTATCTCAGAATCAGTCTATTTATTAAAAAATCATCTGAAGTACAGATGATAATGATAAAGATTCTTTTATTATTTCAGATAGAAGTCTATTTGATTTGAAAGATTTCATTTGGATTTCTTTCGGTTGTGAGTCATTTTAGAAAATGCCACAACATTTTGTCATTTTTGCAAAACAGCAGCAACTTTTTTCTTCCAGAAAGATGTGATGCCTATTTAAAGATTTTTGTTTTTCTTCTGCTAATTATTCTTTGTCTTATGAGATTCCTTTCAGTACTAAGACAATGCTCCATCGCATTGTTTTCTTGAGGGGCATAAACATTTTAGTTTTGGTTGAAACATCCTTCATCTTTTATTTGCATGAAATCCATGAACTACAATTGAAGTTTAAGATACTCTTTTCAGGGCTGATACCAATTTGAGGTATTGTGCATTGTTGTTCTACAGCATGGAGAAAATCAGTGCAAGCCTTAAAAGCAGATACTGTATATTCACCAAAGTGCATATGTAACATCAATTTTCTCCATACGTGTTCAGATGCACAAATACTCTCATGCCTTTCCCATACCCTAAGATGATGGCAGTGACTGAAACCAACGTCCGTGAAAAGAAATCTATGTCATAGTCCTTGCTCACTTTCTCATTATTTGAATTTTTGAAATGGTTTCAAACAATTTGAAAAAGAAGGAAGTGAAAGAGGAGACCTAATGGCCAACTGTCCTGATGGTGAGTCGGAGATGTAGCATTAAAGCTCTTCAGACGCAGTAAGGCATTAACCTGAATCTCTTTCGCCAAGTTACACATAAAGGACAGATGTCAGGATTTTCTTCAGATTTCCAACAGATTTGCTCTCACTGGAAAATGGTTTTGGGATTGGATATCTTTGGCAGAGAGAACAAGACCCCTTGATGGGCACCCTGGAATGGTCCCATGCTGGGCATCAATGCAACCACATCTCTAAGCCCCAAGGGACATTCCCTCCTAAAAATGTCAAATTTCCACACACCTGTGAGACCAAGAAATGGCTTTTGGGGATTAAAGTTTTTAGCTTTATACAAGAAAGAAATCACACCTAAGTCCCCTTTAAGGTTTATAAACCTTTTGAATTGTACAAGATTGCAGAGGAAGTTTGCAGATGAGGTGGAAACTGAATCTAGAAATCTCAAAATCTCACTGTATGCCTTTAACATTCAATTGACCTTCTTCTAGCATCTTTTTCTTCTAACCTTCCAACACAGCCCAACACAGACTGTATGTGCTCTGTTGACAGGTACTGCATATTGAGCAGTGAACTTCATTGATTTCTCCAAAATAACGTAGATCTCTTTCCTGAGATGTCAGTACAGTAGATGTGAGCAGATATAAGTTCATAAAAATCTGTTTTCTATCAGTGTTCTCCATCAGCAGTGACATTTCAACTAGATTTTTCAGTGTATCCTCTTTTTTTTTTTTTTTTTAACTTACTTTCTACAAGCATTGGGAAAATCTAATTTCTGGATTATATGAAAGATTGGTCAGTGTGAAACATGGGTGCCTACAGAGTCTTTTATAGGGACTAAAATAAAATTAATCCCTGCAAAAAAAATTATCATAGGATAAAATACAATTCACCATTGGAAAAATAAATAAATAAATAGGGGTCCAGAAAGATATTATTGTAAACATGAAGTCTTTCAGTTGTGGGTATGAGGCAATGTAGTCACAGACCTTAAGTAGCACATTTGGAAAAGCACTCATCACAGAAGGGTTTCCCAAAGAAATCTTAAATGAGCTACAGCTAAACTCAAGGAATTTCAAACACATAAAGAAACGCATAAGAATCACGATCTGCTGAACTGTAAATCAAGGATGGAGAAAAAAACTAATCTTCCAAATATATTGTTCTAATTATTTTTCCTTCAGCTTTATTGTCATATTCATTGGTAGGCCATGATAGCTATAGTAAAAGAACAAAAAATGGTTTAGAATAGCTTTAATTCTTTCTTGTTGCTGCAGGGCAGAAAATGTTAATTCATTTGTGGATTTCACCAGATTAAGGACACTGTTCCACAGCAATGTGCCTTCTCATTAAAATTGTACAGGATTTTCACAGAGAAAACCCTTAGTCATCACATTACTCAGCTTTATAGTTGTGGTTGTGGTCTAGGTACATCAAAATTCTGAAAAGGAAATTCAGTGATTGTGGTGGTTTAACAATTGATGTATGTCTAAGATCTATCACTCTGCTCTCTCACTTTTCCTCCTCAGAAGGACAAGGTGAGAAAATGTGATAAAAAATGTAGAAAACTCATGTGGCTTGAGACAAGGACAGGGAGATTGCTCATCAGTTACCATCCTGGATGGCATGGGATTATGGGCAATGGGGGCTGCTCTCAGTCCATAATATGTCATCTCTGAGGCTCCTCCATGGTCACCCTTCTCCACATGGCTCCCTCCCACAGGACACCATCATTCCACAACTGATCCCACATGCAGCTCTCTCAGCACTTCTCCATCATGGCTCCATCCCATGAAACCTACCCTTCAGGCTCTGCTCCAGCACAGTCCCACGGGTGGCAGTTCTTCCAGCCTTCCTGACCCACCATGGGTCACCTCTCCAGGTGCTGCAGCTCTGGCCCAGGGCTGCTCCTGTGGAGGTATCCACATGAGGGCTGTGCCTCCTCCAGGCTTCCTCTGCTGCTGCACAGTGGGCTCTTCCATGGCTGTGCGTGGAGATTTGCTCCATTTGGGGCCCATGGCTGCAGGGAGACATCTTGCTCCTCTGTGGGCCTCTCTGTGCCTGGAGCACCTCCTACCCTCTTCCTGCACTGCTTCTGGGGGCTGCAGAGTGCCTAACTTTAACCACATTGAGTCTGGAATTCCCTCACTTCAGGATTCATAAGTGTAATGACAACATTTGCCCTCCGTGGTCACTAGTATTTTGTAGACTATCCTGAGAACTCCTGAGTGACAATGTGTATGTATGTTGCTTCAGATTTATCCTGATAAGAAAACAGAACTGCACCCTTCATTTTACTTAGGTAAATACATTCTCTTCTCCAACAGTTGCATACAAAATCCAGACATACAGACAAAACAAAACAAAAACAAGGTAAAGGGATTTCCCAAGATCCCAATTACAGATACTGAGCTTATTGAAAAATGCTTACTACTACTTGAGATAATGATAAAATTAAAAACATAGGGCTGATTGGTGTTGATAGATGAGGCCATTATCAAATGAAGTCTGTTGTGACAGGAGAAGGGGAAAAGATTTCCAAATGAAAGAGGGGAGCTTTAAATTGGATACAAGAAAGTATATTACAATAGAGTTAGTGGAGCACTAGAAGAGCTTTCTCAGAGATCTGTTGGCTGCCTGTCCCTGTAGGCATTCAAAGTCAGGCTGCATTGGACTCTGAGCCTCTAACGCCCCGAATCTAGCTGTAGATATCCCTGCTCGTTGCAGGGGTGTTGGACTAGATGATCTTTAAACATCTCTTCCAGCTCAGATGATTCTATGACTATGAGTCCATGAGTGTTAAAAGCAAAAATCATTACCTTGGTGGGAAAAAAAAAAAATAATTATTCTCCGTCTACTGGCTCTAATAACATGAGAAATAAGCAAGTGTTAACAATATAAGCAACTTAGTTAAACAGTAAGAAAATAAGTACAGGTATGAAATGAATAGACAAGATTGTGAAATTACCCAAATTTAAAAAAAAATAAATAAGTAAATAAATAAATAATGAGAAATCAAAACCATTTGTTATTCACTCATTTTTCTCAAGTTCTAAAAGATCTCCATCCCTTCACATACACTTAGTTCACACTGAGGAGAAAATTTTAGAGTCAAGCATGCTTTTCATTTGCAGATTTGAATCCAAACGGCTGTCACTGCTGTTGCTAAGTACATTGATTTTCTGCCTAGTTAGAGTACTACAGAAAGTGAGAAGTTTGCAGGTTTATCTGAGTTGAGTTTCCATGTAATCATTTCCATGCCACAGGAGAGATGCAACAAGCCACCTCCAGACCACAAGAGTCAGAGTGAAGAGTGTAAAATGCATCTTGAACAGGAGACGTGTAATGGCCTCTGAACACCAGGCATTTTACAAGAATTGAATTTGGCTTCCCCTCTGACATCAGTCAGATTTTTTTTTTTATTATCTCATACCACAATTCAGTGAAGGTCGTGAATAAGTGTGCAACTTGAACCAGATGAGTAACACTACTTGATCATTTTCAGGTCAAAGAAGGTTAATCCAGTGCCTTGCTATCAATTGCCCTTGCACCTTTAAAGATTAGGTGTGTATATGTTTGCTTGCTCACAGGCAAGTCTGTTCATCAGAAATCAAATTCTTTTTGCTTCTGGTCCTTTTTGTCCTGGCACATTAGGACAAAAAGAAAACCCAGTTCAAAGGAAGTATGTTGTGAAATTCTAATGGAAAAAGCCAAGTCTTCAAAGTCAGCTGGAGCAAAAATAGATTTATTTCATCTGTTTGTTAAATTAATCCTTTTGCCTTTGCTCCTAAATCCTATTTTTTCCATGATACATAAAATCCAGAGGCATAGATGGAACAGATTTTTTTTAAGTACCACTTAAATATAGATCAAAACCACAGTATACAGCCTAAGTATCTCTGAAGATCAATGAAGAGAAAAGAAATAGAGGCTAATGCTGATGAAGC